TTCCAGTTTGAGGGCTGTCCCACTACATGGAGATGATGAGATTAAAATAGGCAATGAAAAGGGTGAGTTCCTGGGGGTCCTCTGAAGTAGTCACCTTGTGGAGGGAGTGAGATGGTGTCGAGCCAGCTGAAGCCCACTGGCCAGGGTGCCAAGGCCAGTGGATTGCTGGTGGTTGCTGAGGTTGGTGGATGCTGAGAGCCAGGATTTAGGCTGGGGGTAAAGGATGTCATTGAAGGTGGTCTCAAGCCTGTGGGGACGCCTTGGGATGATGGTGGTGGCTGTTTGGTGATGAAGAGTCTCATGGTGGGAAACTGTCCAAAGCGCAGCCCACAGAGGCCAGAATTAGAACAGGAGCCAGAAGCTGGATATCCTGGGCTTTCTTCGTTGACTCCTAACACTTGAAGCAGCCTCAGTTCTCCCACCTGTACTATGGGTGCACAGTGTGATCAGCGTATCCGGAGGATTCATGCTATATCGCTTGGAAAATCCACAACATAATATTATTACAAGCAAACACTAATAGAGCCCTTACATCAACTCCTTTAAAACTTACAAGAACCCTGTGAGATGGGTTTTCTGTCTTCATGCTATATCGCTTGGAAAATCCACAACATAATATTATTACAAGCAAACACTAATAGAGCACTTACATCAACTCCTTTAAAACTCACAAGAACCCTGTGAGATGGGTTTTCTGTCGGTCCACTTTTTACAGATGAAGAAGCTAAGGCCCAGGGAGGTTGAGAAACTTGCCCGAAGTTGCACGCTAGAAGTGCAGTGTCAGGATTTGAACTCTGGAGCTCTGGCTCCCAAGTCCACACTTTGAACTACTACGTAGCTCGGGGGATGCCCAGACCCGCCAGCAGGCTGCAGTGAGCGTCCACTGGCCAGACCTTGGAGGCTGCAAGGCTTGGCTGGGCCGAGCGGAAGGGCGAGGGCCTTCCCCTGGAAACACTCCACCAGGTTCCCGCGGAGCCTGACGACTCCCCAGGCAGCCGCGTGCTCTTCCCATGACGTCACGCTGCCTAAGAACTTTTGAGGCCGAGGATTCTTGGAATGCCTGATTCACCCTGGAACAAAAATAATACCTCGTATTTATAATATGCCTTTGTTCCCCAAAGGCTTTCCCAGGCTTTATCTTACTGTAGCCTCAGCCTGGCCTTGTGACCCAGGCAGGGATTGTAGAGAAGGTGGGAGGCCACCCTAAGAAGCACCTTGAGTGGACATTGGTATTCCCATTCTGCAGGTGGAAATACTGAGACACAGGGAGTTGGGTGGTTTGCCAAAGCCTCCCAGCACCAATTTGCTGAACGAAGAGGCTTAGATTTCCAGTGGGATTGAGAGGAGGCTTCCGAAATGCCTCAGCAGTTGAGTGAGGCTCATAGCCCCATCTACTGTCCCCAAGAAAGTCATGTTCCCTCGGCTTTCTGTGCTGCCCCAGATAGAGGAGGGTGGTAGGAGTCTGCAGCTCCTCCGTTCTCCCCCCACAGTGAAGCAGTAAAGCCAAGGGAAGCCCCCAAAAGCTCAACACCCCCTCAGCCCTGCCCCACCAGCGCCGGCCACAGGATCCGGCAGACTGTGGTGGGGAAAGGGTTGTTCCCAGCACAGATGGAAACCCAAGGGCCACACATGGCTTCTGTGGTTTTCCCCAGACACAGTGGAGCCAGGGCTGGATGGCTGGATTTCCAAACCTCCCGTCCGGAGCCCTCGCAGACTCTCCCCTCTTGCACGCCTCAGCCTCTGAATCACAGTGGGCTCTGGCCAGCCTTCTGCCTTTGCTTCTGCGTATCTAGTCCATGCGTCCACACCACAGCTGCCACAGATTGCTGGCAGCGACCTGGGTGCGATAGAGGGAGCTTCAGAGTCTAATTGCACTGGGAGTCTGGAGGGTTGGGAGCAGGATCCTGGGAGCTGGGGACGGCCCTGGGCAGATCTGGGCCTTAAAGCCTGGATAGGATTAAGGGGGTGTTGAGAGATTTCTTAGGGACAGCTGAACAGCTTTTGTCACCCACACACCACCCCCCAGCTTTCCTCAGAGTGTTCCAGGAGCTATGTGGCCTTGGGTGAGCCCATTGACATCTCTGATTAACCTCTTGACAGAGCAGAATCTCAGACCATGTTTAATTAATGAAACGATAGATGAACCAGCCTTTTCCCTATCCTTCCTTCCTTCTGAGTTCCAGTGCAGGCTTTGCCACTAAGTAGCTGAGCAACCCTAGGGAAACAAAGCAACCTCCCTGAACCTTGGTTTTCTCATCTGTAAAACTGTGCCTGCTGTCACTAGTGCAATACTCACAGCTTCCTCGAGGTAGGTGCTGACCTAGCTGGGAACAGAGACACAGAGAGGTGAAATCACCCAGGCCACACACCTATAAGTGGCTGAGCCAGGCTCTGAGCAGGCTGTCGTCTCCCAGGCAGACCTGGCCAGCAGTGTCCTACAGAACAGATTCAGCAGACTTCCATCATCCAATTGAATCCTGAGTGCATAAAATAGTAGGTGCTCAATTAACACGGACCACTTTGATCTCTGTGTTAATGAGCCAGTGTCATGCTTTCCCTTACTTGGCTCCCTCAAGAGGGACAAAGATCTCCCTTTTACTTTTCCTTGTTAATCTTCCCCATCATTCTGCAAACTGGGGTGGGCATGAGTGGCAACCTTGCTTCCTGGGCCCCACTTGCCCCCCGTGCCTCCACTAAGCTAAGCAGCCCCTGAGCTACAGAGAAGCCCTTCGTGCCTGGGCCTGTAAGTCACCTCCACTCTTGCTTTGTCCCCGGTGGCTGGGGCGGGGAAGGCGGAACCCCGCACAGGGTATGTGTAGGTGGGCAGGACAGAGGTGCTTGCACTGGTAATAAGCAGTCATCACTTTTCCTGAAGGCAAGAAATATGAGCCCGTGCATAGTTTTAAAACCACTTGCCGTAGGAATTTTGCTTTCAGAAATTTTTAAGCAGACCTACAAATTATGTGGTAAAGTGTCCGACATTGAGAGGACCATAATAAGTCAGGGGCCCTCGGAATATCTAGTTGGGAATGATTATGAAATAAAAAATGAACAGAGACGTTTGTCTCTGTGTGGACCACTGTTAAAACCATTTTTTAAAAAAAAATTTGAAGTTATTCTCCCTACTCCCACCTCCCAAAATGCAGCTGTGGTGTTTGAGAACTTCTTTTTTTAAAAAAAATAAAATAAAGTAAAAGAGAGCAGTCTTAGAGTGAAACAAGACATCTGATTTCAGAACCCAGAGAAGAAAGAATAAACTAAATGAACGATGGAAAAGGCATAAACTGACAATTTCCATTCTCAGAAAAAAGAAAGCATTATTTCGCTAACAGCAGGTGTTGCCAGTAGCACAAATGGAATATTAATGTTATCTCCTAAGCGATTCCCTCTTGCCCAGGAGAAGCCTTCCCCAGAGAAAGGATTAGGGTACATAAGAAACGGAGAGATGGATTTTTGTCCTTTTTGCTTACAGTGCTTCAGAACGGGTGTGTAGTGTGTCTCTCAAACCTGGGTCCCCATACCCATGTGTCTGAGACCCAATGCAGCCATGGGCCTGGCTGCAGGGAGCAGAAGCAGCTCGTCCCCAGCCCAGCCAAACCCAAACCCACAGGTTTGTGGTGAACAGCCAGCTGGCCCCTGAACGAAGGGATCGACGAAACCCAGCGCCAGCAAACACAGAGCAGAGAGGAGCTGGTTTTGGCCAGCTCAGGCAGCGACCGCTGACAAGTATTTGTGAGTGGCTAGAGCAGGGAAGCTTGGGTCTCCATTGTTGCGGAATGAGGCCCAACCCCCAGTCTGTTCCAGACGCTGGAACAGCTGAGGCCCCTCAGCCCCTTCCCAGGAGAAGGACACAGGCCTCATCTGGTCTTCCCCACTGAGGTTTCAGCCGTAGGCAATTCCACCCTCTCTCCTGAGGGGCTGGATCTAAAGGCCAATGGGAGACAGACAGGCAGTGGTGCTGGGTGCCATGATGAGTCAACAGGCTCGGCCCACTCCCGGAAGCCTCTGGAAGGCCCTCACCTCACTGAGCCTCAGTTGGCTTCTCTGTAAAATGGGAAGAAAGGTTGTTGGCCTGCACACAGAGGCTAGTCTCAGCAGTCACCTGCCCTGAGAACGAAGCAGGACCTTGCACAGGAAGCGGAAAAGGGAGAATAGCTTCATGCCCTTTGCCTCTGGTGGTATCAGGCTCTTCCCTGCCCTCCCAGGGCCCACCCAGTTGCAGCCAGCTGCCATGTAGCTCCCTGTCAAGGCCTCCTACTTTTGAGCCCATTAGTCTTGCCTGCCAGTTAGGAGGGGGCGCTTGAGAGTGGACTCCATGGTGTCCCTTCCACCTGCAGATGGCCCTCCATGTGTGCCAAGGAGCTGCCACCCAGCAAGAGTGAATCCGAGAACACCGCTAGTGCCCAGTGGCTGGAGCATCCTTGGTCATTGCTGTATGGTCAGAGCTAGCTGGCTCCAGTGTATTTCCAAGCAAGAGAACATGGAATTTCAGCTCCTCCCATATTTCCAAGAGCAAACAGCAGAAGTTCTGCAAGACCTCGCTGATTTCTTTCTGCAGCCCTTGACCACCAGCCATGTAGAAATTATTTCCTCCTTCTCCAGGTGGACAGAAGTTGTTTTCATGGCAGGGGTGGGGAGGTGCTGGAGGGGGAGCACTGGGCAGAGAGGGGAAAATCCCTGATATGGCAAGTGGAAAGCAGGCCGTTTCAAGATGGATCCTGGAAAGGGCTCAGTCAGCCATCCTTTGGGGGCATGTCTTGGGCCATAGCTGCAGACGCCACAAAAATTCTAAATAAGGATGACAAAAGCTGTGAGAATCAAGCATTATCTGCCAGGGAGTTTCCAAGGTTCCTCTCTGGGCTTAAAAATAACTCACAGTCAAAGAACTAAGAGAATGGAAGGAGAAAGGGCCAATTAGTTGAAAGTAACTGAAAAATTAAAGGAGGGAGAATTCACACAAAATCTCAGGCACGTGGCACTGTAGGGAGGTGTCATGGGCCATGCGGTACTCCCCCAGTGAGGGTTGGTTTATGTTCCTCAGAAGGAGGCTGCAGTCTTTGGAGCTGACTTGGGCACTTGGGTTTGGGTCTGGGCAATCTGGAGACCAGCTGGTGATAGAATCACACTAGGATGAACCTGACTCAGTGGCCCCACTTTGCAGATGGGGCCGACCCACCACCAGGTGCTGTCCTACAACAGGGAATGAAACTGAATATTTTAGGCATGCCAGTGGGGGTCGGGCCCAAGTGTCAGGGCAGCTCTGTCCTTGCCTGGGAATGTCCATCAGAACCCAACAAGATTGAACCTGGACAACAAGGATGAGAAACACCATGCAGGGCCCAGGGCACACCCAGCCAGCAGGATGCAGTGCAGGGGACCAGACTTTTATAGATATTTTTATAATGACTCTGAAATTATTAAAATAAATACAGACAACTAAAAACCTAGGTCATTATAAATATAAACAAACATAAGAAGCCTCTGCAGGTGGGAAGAAGACGGCAGAAGGCTGAGCTGGAGCTGGAGAGTGCCGCAGTGGTGAGTCCCTTCAGTTTGCTTCTTGGCTTCGTGCCGTGCGTCCCAGACTTAAAGCGAAAGAAAGCAGAAACCCAGAAACGCCACTAGGCACAGGCAGACAAAAGAAGCCCCAACAAAAGCCTGCTTGGTGCAGCCAGAAGGCCAGGGCAGGGGCAGCCTAGCAAGACAGAAAACTTCAGACAGTAACTGCTCTAACTCCAGCCCAAGCTCCAGAGAAAACCACGGCACCACTCCGACTGGCCACCCCAGTAAATGCCGGGGGAGGGGCCTACACTTCCTCCCTCGACAGACCTTAATGAGGCACCCCAACCCCCCACCTCCAGGGACTATGATACCAAGGTGGTGTTTGAGAGGCCAAGCAGGGGGCAGCCCTCACGCACTGATGACCCCTACACACTTGCCCTCAGTCTGCAAATCAAAACATTTGGGGTTTGTCCAACGGTGCACAGAACACTTTTGTTTCATGTGCTTTTTTTTTTTTTTTTTTTCATTTTTTGGCGGCTGGCCGGTACAGGGATTGATCCCTGGACCTTGGTGTTATCAGTGCCGTGCTCTAACCACGTAACTAACCGGCCATCCCTTCATGTGCTATTCTCAGCTTGGAAAGTGTTGTCAAGTAAGTTGGTGAGCCTGTTTTTGTCTAAAACCATTGTGTTGAATATCACTTCTGTATTTTTTGGCTAGGACTGTCATAACAAAGTGCCACCCACCAGGGGGCTTAAACAACATTTATTGTCTCATAGTTCTGGAAGCTTGAAGTCCAAAATCAAGGTGCTGGCAGGGTTGGTTTCTCCCGAGGCCTCTCTCCTTTGCTCACAGATGGCCACCTTCTCACTGTGTCCTCACATGTGTCCTCTCCGTGTGTGGCATCCCTGGTGTCTCTCAGTGTGTCCAAATTTCCTCTTCTTATAAGGACACCAGTCAGATTATATTAGGCCCACCCTAACAGCCTCATTTGAACTTAATCACCTTGTTAAAGGCCCTGTCTCCAATTAGAGTCACATTCTGAAGTACTGGGGTTAGGGCTTCAACATATGAATTGGGGGTGAGAGGTGGGTGGGACACAACTCAGTCTGTAACAATTTCTTCTAACATATTTAGTTAGTGGGCTTGGGGTGACTGTCAATGTACAAAAAAAAAGAAGCTGTTTGAAAGTGATATAAATTTTCAAAAGCATTACAGTGAAAAGTCATTAATGGGATGGCCATTAAGGGAGGCAGGTCTGTGTATATATCTTTGCTGGAACATGCATAGAATATGTCTGGAAAATTCACAAACTGGGAGCAGCTGCTTCCAGAGGACATTACTGGTAGCTGGGGACAGAGGCAGGAGAGTTCGCTGCACATTCTATAGGATCTTTTAAATTTTATTTCATGCGTATTCTAATAAATGAGTAAAATACTGATTTTAAGTGAAGGATTGACTGAAGTCCTCTACAGTAGCAGGGACCTGTCTGGCTGTTCTCTGCTCTGTCCCCAGGCCTGTCACAGAGCCTGGCACATGGGAGGTGCTCAGAGTGTGTTGATAAAATGAACAACTGGACAAGGCAGTGACTTCCTGCCTAGTGTTGGACGCAGGGACCCTGATCGGCCCACCCTGTGACCCCCTCTCTGTCTTTCCCCTTCGGTTTGCAGACGGCAGCAGAGACCTCCAGGGGGCAACAAGGCCCAGCAGCACGGTGACCACCAGCCAGGAAGTGCCAAACACAACAGGGACCACCAGAAATCCTACCAGGGGGGCTCAGCACCCCACCCCTCAGGCAGGCCCACCCACCACGGCTACAGCCAGAACCGGCGCTGGCACCACAGCAACATGAAGCACCCACCAGGCGACAGGGGAGAGACAGGAGCCCACCGCAATGCCAAAGAGACCATGCCCACCGAGAGCCCCAAACCTGAGGACACCCTGGGGGACACCGGGCACAGTGGCCTCGAGCCCCCCTGCAGCCCTGATGCCTTGGCCCTGGCAGCTTCTGAGAGTCTGGCCCCCCAGCAGCCAGGGGGGCCAGAGGCCGAGACAAAGCGTAAAGACAGTATTATTCCCGAGCGCATCGGGGAGCGGCCCAGAATTACCCTGCTCCAGTCTTCCAAAGACAGACTGCGGCGAAGGCTAAAAGAAAAGGTACCGGTAATTGAATTTTTGTTGTTCTCTTGCACCGGGGAGGACAGCCAAGAGGTAGGCACTTTGGAAGGTGGGCTCAGGGCAGAGTCTTATTGCTTTAAGGGTCTGGGGAGCTGTGTGGAAGGAAGCAGAGGCTTTGGTTGCTGCATGGACCCACCCACCAGGCCACAGCTGCCTTGGGTACCAGTGGGCCACCAGAGAGCAGACCCGTGGCCAGCCTGTGTGAACCCCTCCAGGACATTCTGGCTCCTCACCTTCTGGCCCCCAGGAGTCCCGGGGAGGGCACTTGGTACCCACTGCCAGCCTGAGAGGGGGAAGAAGAGGATCCTGCCTGGGGGTGATGGGAGGGATGCAGGGAGGCTTTTCGGGGGTCAGATACTGCCCTGTTCATGCTAAAGGGCATTTGGGGAAATGTTGAGCTTATGAAATGAGGGGTACTGATGCTTCTCCCAGAGGTAAGTGCCATCCAGGCTGTGGTCCCTGCCAGGATGCAGAGCAAAGGTGAGTTGGGCAGTGGGAGCAGGCTGGCCTCTGTCTGGTCATTCCCCGCCTTCGTCTCCCAGCAGCCAGTGAGGGATCTAAGGTGCAAAATGTAAGACAGCTCCACCCTCCGCACCATGTGGGTTCCGACCTGTGCTGGCAAGACCTCAAGAGCGAGGTCTCCATACATCTGCCTCCCGGGATGCTCTTTCCTCACCCCAGGCCTGGACCACAGCTTTCGGAGGAGATAACCCAGGCCTCCAGAAAAGGGACCGGGATTTGCCACTTGCAGCATTAAGTCCATTGTGTTCAGTCCAGCACCCCCACCCATCAAGGGTGCAGGTCAGGTCACCTTAGGGAGGAACCATTCCGGAGAAAGGCCAGCTTGCCCATGCAACAGGCAGAGCAGTGGAGCCTTCTTTCTGGGGTTCCTGCAGAGCTCCATGTTCTGGGCTTTTTCTCCATCTTCCCTCTACTTCCTTCTCCTTGACCTTTCACCCCAGATGCCAGGCCAAGGCCCACACTCAGGCAGGATGAGGCAGGTGAGACCTCCTCCCAGATCAACTCTTGATAAAATGCTGCTCCTACACCCACAAGTGCCCCCCGTCCCTGCTCCTCCTCCGTGTGGGGACAGGCGGCTGTGAGGTCCTGGAGGAAAGCCTCACTGTTCCCTTACATCCCACAGGTAGGTGCCTGGAAGAGCTTTCCAACTGATGGCCAGTGCGTGGTCTTGGCCTGAAGAGCTTCCAGGACAGGTTGCTGTAGCCCAGCCAGGCAGAAGGATTATGAACTAAGTTCTCTAGAGTTCTAATAAATGTAACTGCTGGGCAGCAGCATGCAAACAGCTCGGGCTTTAAATCCAGCAAACAGGCTCAGTCCTTACCCTGCTTCTGATTGGCTGGGCAACCTTGGGAATGTTACCTAACCTCTCTGAGCCCCCCTTGTCTGTAAAAGGGGTGTAATGCTACCCACCTTACAGACAGACTGAAGATTAAATGAGCTAATATGTGGAAAGACCCCCATGGGTAGTTATTATGCAGACCACCATTCCTGCGCTGGGGCCTAGATGTTCAGGGAGTGGGGTATGGAGGGAATGGAATAGATAAGGTAGATCTATAGCACCCACAGATCAGTGTGAAGGACTCCCCTCAGGGGCGGCCTCCAGGACTCCTGGACCAGGAGGACATAGGCTTAGGCTGAGGCTGGGTCACTCCCAGCTCTGCTGGGTGCTCATTCCAAAAAAGGGAAAACCCTGGGAACAGGTGAGCCACCAGTCCTATCCTGAACAAGATTTGTATCAGGGAAAGTAACTCTTCCTTTCTCTCTTTCAAGAAATAAGTAAAGCATTAGATGTCCATTGGGGTGGTGAGTTGTCTTCTTGGCCCAACTCAGGGACTCTGACTGGCCTTCTTTGAAAAGGTGGGTGAATCTGAGGGGTGTGAGGAGAAGGAGAGAATTCAGCCCTCTCAAATGAGAGACCAGCTGCCCTTGGAACTCAACCCCACAATGCTAGGGCCCAAGGCAAGCTATAGATCTTCTGGTCTAACATCACCATTTTACCAGTGGGGAAAACGAGGCCTAAAGAGTGAAACCACTTGCCCAAACCCCATGGATAGAGGCAGAGGGCAGGATCTAGAACCTTGGTCTGTGCCTCCCGGCCCAGATCTCCACTGCTGAAAACAGAAGGGCAGGGGCAGGAGTCTGAACCTGCCTTTCCAAAAAGATCTCACATCCCTGCAGTTAATTGCATCACATTCTTAGCCGCCAATCTATTGAGTTTGAGTAAATACTTTTGAGACATCAGATGCCATTTTCTTCCTCCTTCAGTCCTTGGTCTGGCCTCAGTTGCAGTGAAACCTCACAAGGGTGTAAAATTTTTTTGTCTGAAATTTCCCTCCTAGAAATGCCAACCATTTTAGTGGCACATTGGAGTATTCCTTGGTGTGTAGTATCTGTATGCAGAAGGCCAGCAGAGTCTCCACAGGACACAAAGCCAGGGTCATGGCCACATGGAAACCTATCCCCAGAGAACATGACTGTCCTTGGGCATTCAGAGCTGAGGGTGTGGGGGACAAAGTGGTCACTCCCTGGGCTACCTCCAGCTACCATTGCAGGCATTTCAGGTCCTACATGCCTTCCTGACCTATTTTTCCTATGCTTATTTTCTCTTTGACCCTATTTCTTATATGTTAGCTCATTTCATCTTTTATAAGCCCCATTAAATCATTTCTGGATAGGACATTTGATGGGTAAAAAGAGAAACAATTAAAACCAAGCTATATGAGAATCATGGGTAGGAGCTAGAACTTGCAAGAAATATCAGCCTAGGATGTCACAGGGACCAAGAAAGATGTCAACAAAGAGCCTTTGGGGCATGAGGGGTCATGGGCAGAGGTAGACATTCCCAAAGGGATCAGCCTCAGGTCCAAGAAGGTAGAACTGGGTCCTTCTTTCTGAGGGTGGCAGCCCTCCCTCCAAGCCGCCCCCCGCAGAAACCTGGGCTTCACTCAGGCACACTTGGTTTGTCTCCCACACCCCAGGATGAAGTGGCCGTGGAGGCGACCAACCCTCAGCAGAACAAGATGGACAAATTGATTGAGATCCTGAACAGCATGCGGAACAACAGCAGCGATGTGGACGCCAAGCTCACCACCTTCATGGAGGAGGCCCAGAACTCAACCAACTCCGAGGAGATGCTGGGAGAGATCGTACGGACCATCTACCAAAAGGCCGTGTCCGATCGCAGCTTCGCCTTCACCGCCGCCAAGCTCTGCGACAAGATGGCACTCTTCATGGTGGAGGGGACCAAGTTCCGGAGCCTGCTCCTCAACATGCTGCAGGTAACCGGACACTGACAGCTGTCCATCCCCACGCCCCCGGGCCCTCCACAGTGCTGGGTTATTACTAGAGAGAGGGCTGCAAGTTCTGACCACAGTTGAGCTTTTCCCAAGTTCCACCCTTGCCCAATTAATTATAGAAAATTTTAAAAAGGCATCAAGGGGCAAGAGATGAGTGGCCAGATTTGCGTATGTTTGTGTAAGTGCTCCATGGTTACAAGGGACCAATATACTTTTATGGATGCTTTTTGTTTAACCAGCCTTTCCCTCTTTCTATTTTCATGATAAGAGGGCTGGCTCTTGGTCTGAACCTGACTCTGGGCTTTGACCTCTCCCCATCTGAGCAGACATGGACTTGCTGTGGACTCCTCCTTTCCACCTCCTCCTCCTCAGGACCATCCCCTCAGACCTTGGCTGTAGCTGGCACTGAGATGGATTTGAGCAGAGTCATTTGGGAGCAGGACAGGGCCAGTCTGTCTGCTGATACAATGGGGTTCCTGGCAGAGGGAAAGCCTGGAGACCCAACACTGTCTTGTTGGTCAGGACTTCTGCGCTCCATACCCCTTCACCTGCAGAGCGCTTAACCCTGCCCCTGCTCATTGGCTCCTCCACGGAGACCAGCTCCCGTGGTGGTGTTCTTGGCATGAGTGTGTAGTGGGTGTGGGTGTGTGCGCTCAGCCGAGCCTGGTCAGGACTTCTGCGCTCCATACCCCTTCACCTGCAGAGCGCTTAACCCTGCCCCTGCTCACTGGCTCCTCCACGGAGACCAGCTCCCGTGGTGGTGTTCTTGGCATGAGTGTGTAGTGGGTGTGGGTGTGTGCGCTCAGCCGAGCCTCGCACTCTTTCATCTCACAAGTCCCTGCTCTTCCGTTGTGGGCGGTAGCGGGTGAATTGGTGGCATCGGGGAGCAACAGCAGGGAACATGGCATGGCGGCCACACCAGGCCCCAGAACCAGATATCCCTGGAGAGTCTAGGCTGGAAGAAAGACATCTCTCCTCCTACTTTGTACTTGAGAGACTAGTTGAGATACAAATGGAGCTGCCAGCCCAGGTGAGGTGAAATGGGAGATAAGAAAGTAGAACTACAGAGCTGAAGAGACCACCTGCAGTTCTGTCTTACAAGGGTGACCAGATAACAGAGATCTAGACTGCATCCCTTCTGAGAGTCACAGGGGGCCCCCCCGCTCATAATGACGCCTCAACAGCTGGTGTAAACGAGGGCATGGGGTCACCGTCATTTAACCACCTGGTTCCTGGTTTCTATGTCTTCCGTAAAGGCTGGGAGGAAGTTGCAGCTGGGGGCCCTGTACAGCCCCCCACGGGGCTCTGTCGCTGCCAGCCCCTCTTCGCATGCGTCTCGCTCAGTGCAACATGAGCCCTCCCTGGCCGGCCTGGGCTGCTCTCTCCAGCTCCAGGCCCTGATCGGGTTCCCATTCCTGGATCGCCCGCACTCCCCTGGTGACGAATTCCCGCATTACCTGAGGGATTTGCACATCGGGCATGTTCCTCGCGGGCCGGAATGTCCTGGGAGAGTGTGGAGGGTGACGGGCAGGGAGAAGTCTGTCTGCCACGTACCACCAGGCATGGAGAAGTCAGGGACATGATCAGCCTGTGGCCTTGGCATTTGGCTTTTGGTTTTGGTTTCTTCACAGAAGGGCCAGGAAGGGACAAGAGTTCTAGACAATGGCTGCCAGCTCCAAGTAACTAGCCAGAGCCAGTGGTGGGCAGACATACCGGGCATGGGACACCCAGGGAGGGTGGCTGGCTACAGAAGCCACCCGAGAGAAGACATTTCTCCCAACCGCCCCTGTTAAGAGCAGCCTTGCTCTGGGATACGCTCAGCCACCAAAGGAGCTCCAAGCACACACCTCTTGACCAGCCACAAGGTACACCAGCTGAAGACAGGTTCCAGCTGTCCCCACAGGAAGGGAACTGTTTGGCTGCATTTAACTCAATATGTCCTCTTTGCATTCCCCAGCTGACAAGTTCTCGTGGAACTGGTGTGCTGAGAGACACCCTTTGACAAACACTAGGGCAGGGAAAAGCACTAAGTTAAAAGCTGGGAAGCAAAGGTTCTAGACCTGATTCAGTCGTCGTCAGTCAAAGCCTGGCCTCTGCCGCTCCGCTGGGGCAGCACTGACACTAGCCCCCATCTGTACACTCTACAATCCCGTGCTGCTGGCGATGAGTCAGGGCCTCGGGAAGGGACCCAAGTGACCCCCGTGAGCCTCTTCCTTTCTCACTCTCCCAGGTCTTGCCACTTGCATGAGACAGCCCTGGTTCTCCCTAGTCCTTACAAACCTGCTTTCCCCATATTGTGTCTCAATGATAGGTCTGTCCTGAGAGATGTAGGCTTTGGGACCAGCCCAAGAGACCTAACCCTATTGATGCCACCTTGTCTCTGGGGCAGAGGAGACCTGGCACTCCCACATCAGGCTTCCTGCTCCCCCACCCTCCAGGCAGGCTGAACCTCTGCTGCATCCTGGGTGGACAGGCCCCCTCCACACACCTGTCTAGAATTCACTTCCCCCTTCCACCCCGAACATCCACCCCTTTGTCTTCATGCTTCAGGTGGCGCTTGGGTACCACTTTCCAGGAAGCCTGCTGCAATCCCCTCTCTGACCTCCTTTAGCACTCTGCCCTTCTGTCCCAGCACCTGTCACCCTGTAGCCACAAACATCCAGTCACCCAACTAGTATTTACTGAGTATCTACCATGTGTCAGGCACCAGCCCAGAGGCTGAGAATGCAGCAGTCAGGAAATGTATGCAGTTTTGTCCTTAAGAGGTTTGCAGTGAGGAGGATCAGAACTTAACCCAATGACTTCATGAACACGCAGTGACAAACGGGTACGTGTTGTTGTCTACCTCTCCTGGGCTCTGCACAGTGCCTGGCTCTGGAGCACCCTGGGGGATCCTGGAGGATGATAATGGATGATTGAAGGGGAAGGCACTAGAAGCCTCCCCTCTCCCTTCTCCTAGACGCAGCTCACATTCTGAGGCCATTTGCCTGGGTGGAACATTTATGGGGTGGGTATTCAGAAATCTAAATGTCCCCATAGGCCACCACTCACCCCTTCTCACCACCCACAGCCCCAGCTTCCATGTGAGTCAAGGAGGGAGCCCCTTGAAGGGTTTCACCAGAGGGCTCGATCTGGCACTCAGACCCAGGTCACTGGGCTGACATGGGAAGGCAGGCTGAATGTGCTGGCACAAGGCTGCCCCTGGCCCCTTCTGGGCCCCCTTATTTCAAGGCTCAGAGGAGGCCACCAGGTCTGACTGGGCCTCCTTGGGCTTTGCTGCTCCTCTCTGCAGCCCTGGAGGAGTCAGGTTGGAGCAAGCCTTTCCAGGCAGCATAATTCATGGCCACTCACCACCCAAACCCAAGAGGTACAAGAAAGGAAGCAGTGGGCCTGGGTCATCAAACCCCACTTTCCCTCTTAACACCTATGGGGACATCTTTTACACCTGTTTCCATTGTCTGGAGATCCTTGTTTCTATGCCTGTCCTGGCAGCCAGTCCTGGGCCCGGTCTGCAGAGCCCTTCCCTCCCCTTTCTCCCCGAGGCTCGCACTCAGCTCCATCCGCTCCAGACCCACTTGGTCCTGGGTCCCCAGCCAGCCCCTGGTTCAGTTCAGTGGCCTCTGAGACGCCCCTCATGTGGCCAGGTTTGGCTGCCACCTCCACACACAAGCTCTGAGACCCGGCTTAGTGACGCTGGCTGCAAAGGGGCCAGGGTGTGAAGTGCCCCATGAGCAGGGCTCCCAGCAGCTGTCTTTGGACATTGCCCTCCCTGGCCGACTGCTCTTGCTGCCTGGGCTTTGGCAATGGGAGCTGGCAGCATGGAGGGGAGCGGGGCAGCCTCTGATGTGGTAGACACTCTGCAGCAGAGCTCCGAGGGCAGCTCCCACGGTGTGGGAATTAGGGGGTGGGAGGAGGTCGAAAGTCCTTTAACCCTTCCCAGCCATACTTAGCATCTCCATCTCAAGGAACCCAGAAACACTGCCCTCATGAGCCAGTGCCAGAGACCCTGGGGTCTCAGTGGACCCTTGTCACCAATCCCACAGCTCAAAAATGGTCTTCAATTTTTACATCCAAACTGACTCTTTTTTGCCTTAGGTGAGGCCCTTTTCTTTGTAGTGTCTCTGTAAATAAACTTAAACAGACATTTCTTAAATGTCTTTTACATGTCAAGCATGTAGTCTTCGTTAGATCAATGGCTCTCAAACTTGAATGTGCCTGTGAAGGACATGGGATTTCATGTAAATGCAGATTCTGATGTGTTAGTTCTGGGATGGGGACTGAGATTCTACATTTCTAACAAGTTCCCAGAGGACGCTGGTACTGCTGGTCCAGGGGCCACACCTTGAAGTAGCAGGTCATTGTATGACTGATGGTTTGTAGGTTATGGGTCAGTTTTATAGATGGACAAATTGAGGCACAGTTTCTTATCAGTGTGATTGTCATAAGTGGGGAGCCAGCCTGGGAACTGCATTTCAGACACCGGGTCTGGTTTAGATCATTGGTTCTCAGCCTCACTGTACATTAGAATCACACGGAGAACTTGAAGAACATATTGGTGCAGGAGTCCTACCCCAAATCAGTTGAACTGGATTCTTCAGGAAAAGGGCCTGGGCATCCTTTTTTAAAGAACTCCCGGTGATTCCAGGGTGCAGCCAGGGTTGAGCACCACTGTTAATACCCCAGAGATACCGGGACTGTCCATGATTGTTCCTTATGAGCCAGCTGGCTCTGCCCGTCACACCACGAACCAGGCAAGAAATATGCATCAGGTGTTGGGCTCTTTGCTGAGTGATGTGGAGGACTCGGCTGCTGAGACAACTCCTTCGGCTCTCCCTGCCTCGGTTTCCCCTCTGTAGAGTAGGGGAGTCGGTCTAGACCATCCCAGAAGTCCTTTGCCTAGCTCCCTCACCATCATCCTGAGACTTCTCCCTGAGGTGATGAGAGCTGCCTTTTCCCTCCCACCAGCCTTTTGTTCTCTGTCT